TTTTGATCAATAAAAGGGGCTAAACCTTTTACTCTATTGATTGGGCTACTGTTTCACCCCTTAGATAACTTTCAGCTGTGCCCAAAATTCTTTTAGATTACTGTCGAAGAAAATCTCTGTTTGTTCTAGTTCACAGCGTTCATATCTGACCTTTTGTACTCGGGTGTCTTGTATACGATGAACCTAAAAGAAAACTGAAAGCGCGTAAAATATTCATAAATCTTATTTAAAAATCATAAATACATTTAAAGTTAAAGTCTTTTGTTTAACTAAACGTTTCAAAGATCGTTATTATCACAGCTTTTTTTCAGTTCATAAAAATATTCATCCTTAGTGCCGCTAAGTTCTGGAGACTCAGGAATAATTTTTTTTAAGAAGGCAGGTCCACCAAGTTGAATTATTTAGAAGAGAATCACTACTTGCACCACGGGTAAGTAAATCAGCTGGATTAGCCGTGCCTGGACAATGATGCCACGTAGCATCAGTTGTCAAGCTTTGTATCTCTTTCACACGATTTGATACAAATTGTTTCCACTTTTTGCTTGGTCTTTTAATCCAGTATAAGGTGACCTTTGAATCACTCAGAAAAAAACTTTTCGATATTTGTTTTTTGTCAATAATTGGTTTCAATTCACTAGCTAATCTTGCTGCAAGTAAAGCACCCATAAGCTCAAGGCTTGGCAATGACAGCTTTTTTAACGGAGCCACTCTGGATTTTGAAGCTACAAGATTGATTAAGATTTCGTTCTCAACCTTTAACTTAACGTAAATAACTGCTCCATAAGCCTTAATACTAGCATCCGAAAATGTATGAATTTCCAGTTCTGCATCTTGATCAATAAAAGAACCAAATATATATCTCGGACCCTTTAAATTTTTAAGTTGTGGAACTTCTTTACACCATTTCATCCACTTCTCGCTTATATCAGGAGATAAAGCTTCATCCCAAGAAAGTTTTCTTTGCCATATCTCCTGAAAGAGGCACTTGAAACGGATAGTAAAAGGAGTCACAAGACCCAGCGGGTCGAAGATTCTTCCAGCAGCCATTATTAGAAACCATTTGGTGTTCTCTTTCTGTTGGAGAAATTCTAGCAAACTATTAATTTCTAAGGATAGGTAATCACTACATGGATCCCATAAGAGCTCTGTGTAATTTATCCTGTAAATCTTCTGGACATAAATGCTTAAATCCCACAGCCTTCCACTCTTTTATTAACCTTTCAGAATTTGAAATCTGCTTCCTTAAGGTCATCCCAGCGTCTCTCATTATTTTTTCGTCACTTTTAGAAAATTCAAAGGCAGATGGAATGTCGTCATTTCGTGTGATAAGGTCATCTGCATAAAAACAGGTATCAAGTGTTTGTACTGTAGCAGGAAAGTCCTTTCAGTACTTCTCTATATGGTTTTTAATAGTTACTGCCAATAAAAAGGGACTTGCATTTACTCCAAAAATTATCCTTTTGAATTTATATATGCATACATTATTCGTATTGTCAATGAAAAGAAATCTCACTGCATCTGTCTCTTTCACGTAAAGAAATTTGCAAGAAAGCCCTTTCTATATCTGCCAAGAAGGCGATCTTGTTCAAGCGAATGCATGTCAATAAATGAAATATATTTGGGTTTAAATTAACTCCTTGATATAAACAATCATTATGAGTAATGTCCTGGTCCTGAACTTCCATCGAACAATCAAATCCTTACTTGGGAGTTAAGTCTCTTGCTTTACGCAGATGGTGAGTAAGTAATATAAAGGTTTATTTACTTCCTTAACTGGGCTCATCACTTTCTCAATAATTCCCTCACTCAAATAATTATTCAAGATATCACAATACTCTATATACAGGGAATTATCACGTTTCATTTTCTTAACAAGGTTTGCTAGTCGATTTTTTGGAACATCATAATTGTCTTTAAGTTCCTCCCAATTTCTCTTCCAGGGTAACCCACCTCATATCATCCGTCTGAAGCATACTGTTTCATTTAACATCTCTAGGGCCTCATCTTCCTCATTTCTCAATTCGGTATCCTTTATACCAAGAGATTCTAACTCCCAGAATTTTGTTAATTTACTATCTAAATCTTCAAAATTGTTTACTAATCCACAATGATAACTGTTTTGTTTACTTAACTCCTTCACATCCAATCCGCCTCACACAGCCCTACATTGAAACAACCAGAACCGCCCGAAAACGGCTGAGAGTGTAATTTTGTATTCTTTCCTTTTCCTAAGATATGCAGAAGCAGGTGCAGTTTCCCCAAATTCATTGTATCAGTTTACTGCAGACAGCTTGTCCAATAATTTCTTATCTTTGGTTGTCTACATTCGTTGTTATACTTTTATGGTATCTGTGCTTTTAAGCTTAAACATCAAAGAGAGCAGGTTAAAATTTAAGGATTATATTATTTTAAACCATTTATTCCTTTCTTCTAAAATACTGAAATAACAAAATTTCAGTCATGATCATAATAAAGACAGTGTCAAAGGCTATGAATCTTGTAGAAAGTACAAATGATGTATTGAAATCTTCCAACTATTTCTCATTAATGACGGGAGGGGGAAATTGCTGTGGAACTGAAACTATTTCGGGCATTTCAGTATTTTGAGGACACCAGTTGTGAAGGATCTGGGCTTCAAAGAGTTAATTCCAGACCCCTCACTACCCAACCAACACTGTCTCTGTAACACGATAGATCCTCTTGTAATTTTATTTAATTGTTTGAGCAGCATGTAAGTATATCAGCTACCAGAAGAGCATGGTCATAAAAATCTGGGTCAGCGTAACAAATATTTGTTGGAAAACAAATTTTCTTAACATCCAATTGTTTCGAAAGAGTAAGATCAGTAATAGTATCTACAATTAAAAATTCAACATTTCTTTTAAAGTCTCCATTCGAATTTTCCGCTGATGTTACTACCTTACTTTTAGCAGTTAGAATCGAATTATTCAGGCCAGATATAGGAGCATTTATTGCTTTTTTTTTTATTTGTAACATATCCGCAATTTCCTTTCAAATTAGGCTGACTTGACTGCCTACGTCAAGAATTGCTAATATTTTTATTATTTCTCCATTTCCCATTCGAAACTTAATCACAGCAGTAGATAAAAACATGTAAGTTTTCCGACCTTGGAAAGGAAACCTTTGCTCTGGCACCGAGAAGCATTTATGTTCACGTTCATAACTCGTTCCAACAAATGACTGATTTATGGAGGGAGTCGAATTTTTGGTTTCAAAACTAATCGCATTCGGATTTAATTTGCTTGAAATATTTATTTCACTAGCATTTTTTGGGGCGAAAGATGTTTTTCGAGAATGTACACCATGGGATAAATTATTATTTTTTTTCTCAAAGTTAATTAGGATGTTATGTTTTTTACCGTACTTAGTGCATGAAAATTTTGAAGAACACTGCTTTACATTATGATTTAAAAAGCAGTTAAAACACAATCTTCGCTCTTTTAGAAATTCAACCCTATCGTTCACTGATATATCTTGAAATTTAGGACATATATATATAATATGATTATCCAAACAGAAACTACACTTAGGTGATTTGACATTAGTTAGCAATACAGTACCTTTAGAACAATGCTTTTGGTTCGTGTTCTTAGAAACTCTAGACGCTTCTGAAATTCTTGCATGGTTTTTTAGAACTTCACTTAGTCATGAATTTTGAGCAGGAACAGGATTAATTTTTCTTACCAAACTCAAACTTTCAAAAAAAACCTTGTGTGTTGAAAAGCATCTAATTTTTGTAACAAAATCCAGCACAACTAGTATGGCAACCCATCAATTGTGTGTTCTAAAATTTCTAACGCTCTTGTACATTCAAAGGTAATGTCAACTAAATTTAGTAAAGCACTAGCAGATTCACTGTAAATAGGTGGAATTGACATAAATCGCTTAATATGCGCAAAAACCTGTTCTCGATGATTTGAAAATCTTTCTTCTTACAGTGTCCAAGCAACTTCTTAATTTTGATCTGAAACTGGGATTGACTTTACGACTCAGAGTGAATCGCCTTTAAGGGCTGATAATAAATATTGAAGCTTTTGTCCTTTCTTTGACAAATTATTGTTGTTATGCACAGTAACCTTAAATAAATCGTTAAAAGTTATCCATTCATAAACATTACCAATAAATGTAGGTAAACTCAATTTTGGAAGCTTTATATCTGGGGCTATTTTAGAGCAATTATCAACACTTTAAAATATTATGCTAATTTAGGATGCTTTTAATAAATTTATGGTATTTTCCCATATTTTATTGAGGCAACTTTCGTACAAATACTTTCTTGGAAATTTTCCAAATATTTCAATTTAAATATGCATGTATAATTGCATCTGATTTCTAAGGAGAATGGTTTGTACAGAAAGATAAAATCTACTTAAATGATTCTGTTGTAGGTATGCATGTAGATAATAAACTATTTGTGTGGAACAATTTTTGTTAAGCAGCTGATGAGTTGAAAGTTTTCTACTTTCACAATCATAAGTATTCCATTAGTCAGACTGTTATAATATGCAATAATGAATGTGCTCTCCTTTCTTTGTAAAGGCAGCTTCCAGTCATTGTTATTACAATGATCCACTATAACATCAGTTTCCTGTATAGAATTAGAAAAGTGTTTTATGTTTTACATATTTAAGAAAAAAGATTTGTTTCTTATTTTAATCTTTTGAATTTTTCAAAATTTATGGCTTACCAATGACATTGTGTATAAAGCCACAAAATGCATGTAGTTCACATACGATTCTCTTTCTGGTGACTGAATAGACTTGTCACATGGTAGTTTTCATGGTTTTCTTCATATGTAATGTACTGTCCAACCCTCAGTTTTTCATAGAGGTATCCCTTAATAAGCTGGATAATCCTAGCATATTTTGTCATGCTTAAATAATCTTATTCACTGCTGAATTTAATTTATATTGTACTTGCCTAAAATTGCAGACAAATTTGTAAATATTGTAATTGAATTTCTCTTTTCTTCTCTTCAGAACTGCCATATGAGCGTTATAAGTATGCAGTCCAAGTTGTAATTGGTGAACAAAGAGGACAAGGATTCAAGTAAGCCATTTGCACGTCTGTTCTGTTATTATGCAAATTAATCAAAAACTTAGTAAAAACTTATTTTCCTAAATTTAAATCTTGAATTAAAAAAAGTTTTGTTTTCAGAATGACGTCGTCTTGTTTTTGGGATGCTGATACTGATAACTGTGCCACAGAAATTTTTGTAAATGTATGTGTCTTCATAGTAAGGAGTCTTATAATTGTTATTAACAGATCTTTAATAATTAAGAAATGATTAATGTCATATCTAAGAGTGAAAAAAGTTTATTAATATATGCTTTGTAATAATGGTAGACACTTTACTCCTGAAATGAGTTTTAACCCTTTTGTGACAGTGCGCCTTTGTTTAAGATGTTTCCTTGAAACAGATAGAAATCGAAAGAAATCATCGCACAGGATGGGGGGTTGCATCCGTTAAGCTTAGAAAAAAGTTTATGTCCTAGCATCATAATTTTTACTATTTTAGATTATTGTATAAGCTATCGTGTATGTTAAAACTAGCATTTAGTTATCTTCCTTTACATTACATGAAAATATATCTTAAAAAATTGCTTACTTCGAGAAATAATTTTCAGAAGCGCTAATAAAATTATTCTAATGTTTCAATTTATGAAATACATTAATAAATACTTTAATAAATAAAAAAAAATACAAGAAAGACTATTTACAAGAAGAAGTAAGGAAAAAAAAACTTTCATATGAGTTAGAAGGCAGACAGTGAGCTGTCTGATAAAATGTCCATATGAGAATTACTAGAAATATTGCTCTCTAACTCTTTAAAAAATGAATCACCACTCTCATTCATGTCACTAATTGTCTTAGTTACCATGTGACTATATCCCTCATCTAATAAATAATGCTTACTCGCCATAATAAACTGAAATCAGAGCGTTCCGAAAAGGAAGTGCCTGAAATATAAGCAATGCAAAGCATAATAGAACCCCATATAGTAACCTTAAGATATCTTATATAGTAGCAAGAAAAAGGATTCAAAGGGATATCAGAAATGTGAATGTTTATATCATGTGTAGAGTTAAAGAACCAAGTTTGTGTACATTATGCTTTCTCTCCTCCCCTGCAATAGCTGACACCAACATTATATAGCATGCGATGAAATTGGAGCTCAGGAATCCTAAAGCTATAGTTAGTTCAAAAGTAATGGACATGGGACACCACCTTTAAAATGTTCCATGGCACTGGCACAAATGTGTGACAGGTGGCTGGGAACAAGAAAATGCCAGCTTGCTGATCAGGTAATGAGTGCTTTTCTTGCTGGCATGTGTACATGACAGGTGGTGCAAATGGGTTAATATAGCACAAGCATAATGCTGAGCACTCTAGCTCACATGTTCAACAAGCAGAATAGCAGCTCATTAACAGAAGTATACTTCACTATGGCATTCATTGCCATTAGATGCATGTGTTTTATGAGTATTGGTAAGATGATCCTCAGATATCTTGCTGTCTTTCCTTCTACCTCTTTCTAAGTTATATGTTTTTCATTTTTTATTGTGATCTTTTTCAGAGAAAAAAGTGTCTTAAAGATTCTTTTTATGTGTTCTTTCATGACATTTAACATCTTATAACAATTTCACTACAGCAGAAGAACAGGTTGAAAGTATGTTTGATGGGTTTCTTCTCAAGCTTTAGAGGGCTTAATCTCTGAATAAGAAGGCCAGTCTTGGTCCTAACAGTATAAATTACATGGTAAAGCATTTGTTCTGTCAGTCTTTAATTGCCCTTCTGAAACTCTATAATGAAGTATGGAAAGAGCATTTTCCCCCAAACAGAGCTTAGGGCTGTTAATCCTCTTAGCCAAACCAGGTAGGGATTTTAAGAATTCCTCTAATTACTGTCTCAGTTCTTTTGCTGTTTTATGCAAAATCTTGTAAAATACGATGAACTCCAAATCAGCAAAATGGAGCTTTGGAAAAAAGTGTTTATTTAAAACCTTTTTAGAATGGTTTCTGGAGAGAATAAATTGATCCTTAGTTGACAATATTTCATACATAGAAATGACAGTCTCAAATGCTTTTGTGAAGAGATTTTGCATCCTCCTATTTTCCCTGATTAAAAAAAAGTTTGTGATAAAACATGGCGATATAGACTCCATGATCTTGTGATGTATCAATATACATGATTGCTATACTTTTCATTATAATGTCAGTTCTGTTTTAAAGGAGCTTCCATGCAGTAAAATGAATACTTATATGCACATATATTTCTCATAACCCACCACTACAGTTGTAAATAGTCATTAATAAGGTTATCAAAAGAAAAAGATTCAGCTATTCAAACTAGAATGCAGTCTGCATGTTCTTTTCTGGCTCAAAGGTTTGCAGTTTGACACTTTATGAGAAACAGTCTTTAATGCCAGTTATTTCAAAAGCAATGTTCGTGGGAGCAACACCAAACTTTTTCCACATTTTGAATTTAAAGAAAAAGTATGTAGGTAAACTTCTAAAAGTGTTATCAAATACTCTTAAGGAAGCTGACATCTTGTATTGAGCACTTATTTATATTATTACTATTATTATTTTATTTTGTAATACCAGATGTTATATCTGGCCAAAGAAAATGTAGTTACATTTTGAAATCCATTATAGGTCACTGGCATATGGATTTTCGCTTGGGACTTCCCCTCTTCCATCATCATATCCAAAATCTTTTATTTTTTAGTAGAAGTCTAGACATCATGGTTTCAGTTATGCTTTGAGATATTGGTAACACCCCTATTCTATGCTGTGAAATAAGATATTTCCGACTGCCAAAGCTGCAATAGAACATCATTAATGAGAATAAGGATACTGCTAAAAGCCGAAAAGGAAATTAAATGGGAAAATATATGTAAGCGTGGAAGGGGAAGGAGTCATATGCTTTGACCACTGTGAGCCATAGTCCTCTGTTCACATTTTTATAGCTTTCAGGGGAAGGAAATGAATTCAGAAAAGCACGGTTCTGAAGAGTGGTGTAACCTAAGAATGCGTTTGAAATTCCGAAGTTACCAATTTCATATCCCTCCTACTTAATTTTATTTGTTAGAAAAATATATACACATAACATCATGGAAGAAGGAGAATATATTCTTTCTTCCATGATGCATATGCATACTGTTGTGGTTACCAGTTCTATGAGCAGAAATTTTTTATTCATGATTTCAGTTTAATTTGAGTCTTGATTTCTTTTTTAATTTATTCTAATTCTCGGATTTTGTTGATATCATATGCAAACTTTTTTGAAAATATTTTGATTATTAGAGTTCTTTGGAACAGGAGCTACCATATTCTTTTACCTTCTGCATGCTTGAGCATGTCAAAATTAGAGAAAATGAACTGGTTGATATTACAGTGAAGATTGCCAAGGGAACTCTTGGCTGTCTATCCCCTTTAGAGATATGCAAGCACTCATCTGAGATAAAATTCTCCATGAATGACAAAAGCTGTGGGATTACAACAACAGCACTAAATTGAAAAATGGAAAATCAGATTCGGTTATTTGAGTTTAGATGTCTTTTGAATTGTTTATGAAATGTCATTCTAGAAGAAGAGAATTTAAGCAAATTAGATGTTGCATTATTGATGCATCTTTTTTGGGGGTGGGGGAATGTTTAATCATTTTCATCTTTACTGTGTTACATCTTTGAATTTGTCTTTAAATGCAGCACTCAGAGAAAAAAATCCATGTTAACATTTTTAGTTTTCTTAAAGAAGCCCGTTTTTAGTATTTTATCTGACAGTTGTTATATATTACAGTATTAATTAGATCTTAAAACATGTTCATACATTAAATTTCTATGTATCCTTAATTTTTGATGGTCCTCTTTACCATGCTCTATTTAATTTTAAACAAAACTGGCATCTTTATATATTAATTTAAATACTTGAGTAGTACGTACATAAAGAATGTTTTAGGAATCAGAACATTTCATATTCATTTCTGTTGTTTCTTTCTCATGCCATATGTCTGACGCATTTTTCAGTTTGGGTGCCAAAAAACCCATCAGCTGGCATCTAATGCATGTTGTTATTGTACTATGTGACTTAAAATACGCTTAGAAAACACTGCTGCACCCTTTATAATTCATACTGGAAAGCAACAACTAAAATAGAGATGCATGTGTAGTTTAGTAGCTTTTATAATAGTTTTGAACATGTTCTGAATTTTAAAATATTAATTATTAATATGGTATAATATTAAAAAAACTTTATATTAAAGAAATTAGTGTTTTAGAAGTTCGTTTTTTGTACTATTTATTCATATGTTATAATCCCATCTTAAATTATTTATTTTTGATTTCAGGAACATTTTATTTGTGCAGTTGCAGTGTTTGCATCATACTATTATTGAAAAATGGAGTAGATTTTGGATTTGTTACTATATTTTCATACATTGTACATACCACATTTAGTGCATTTTGTAAAATATAAACGTTTTGCTGAAAGATACCCTTGTTGTCAATTTCTTGAGATGAAAATTTAACACTGAATATGAGAATATTATACAGGAGAGGCCTGAGTCGCATTTAAAGTTTTATGGAAATAAGTATTTTTATAACATGTTTGTAATACTTAACACCAATAAAAAAGTATATCTTAAAGCTTTCATGGTTAAAATACAAATGTTCTGTAAGTGACCCTTTGTAGCACAACAGATATCAGTGGGACATTCAAGTCCTTCCCAGATGCATCTCAGCATGTCTGTTGCAACAGTTGCAGTAACTGTTGTGATGCATTGTTTAAGATCTCCCAACTTCTAGAAAGGTGGAATAAAAATTGTACCTTGAGATAAATGTAAGAAATCACACAGTATTTATTTATTTATTCACCTCAGTGTAACCTCTGCAGAAAAATCATCCAGTTGCTTTCTCATTACCAGGTTAAAGTTACAAATTACAAAGTCACAGTAGGTTTCAGCTGTGTATAATAAAATAAAATATTATGTATGTAGATAGGGAGGCAGAAAGATTTGCATATAATAATCATGCATTTACTTGCTCAATATATAATGATTTCCCAAATAATAAATAATGTATTCTGTTATTTAATATGCAGCAATATAGATGTAACAGTACATACATTAAAAGAGACAGTAATAAATTAAGAAATTCATAACTTCCTACTAAAAGGAAGAGACCTTTTATAATATGAAATTTCTTATTCATTAGTATCTGAATTATGAATTCTCTGTCTATAGTTGCAGGCATATTTGTTCTAACCAGTAAATGAAAAATCCAACTGCATTAACAAATCGTAACATATCACTGCAGTTGCTGTCAAAAGTAACATTTGTAAAAGATTATACAATGTAACAAAACGTTTCCATCATGCATTACTATACTGAAGTGTCCTTTTGAATATTTGGTAGTCTCTTGAGACTGTTTTAACCATCTTTTAATTGATTGGGCCATGGGTAGAGGTTTATTAAATTCATGTCAGGATTGCCTCTAAACTGTTTTTTGAGATTTCGTTTCCCATAATCAGAGAACACGCATTGCTTTTTCACTGCATAATGTCATTTTGTCTGTAAACAAACAAGTTCCCTATTACCATTCCCAAATATTAGAACAAATGAACTCCTTGAACAAACGATTATATCAGTAAAAATTATTTCATGTTGTTTCATAAAATTACACTTAATTTTGTTATCTGGTAATTAAATTATGGACATCCTATACATTAAAGGAACAAAATACAAGAAACGTACAAATTCACACCATTCTAATAGTTTTGGTACAGCTATGCAAAAAATAACTAAATTGATACATTAGTTAGACCCTAAACCATTAGTTAATCCCTAAACCATATGCCCACTAGCAGCATTGCACCCACTGACAGTTTTATGTGTGCCCACTGCTGTGGGATCACGATAAAAAATACAGTCAAAAGTCGTTAATCCAGACTCGTCGGGACTTCGGTGATACCGGATTATCGATTTTTTCGGATTATAGATCATCAGTTTAAATCTGGTAAGATGGCATGCAGAAATTAAATTAAAATAGAACCGTAATTTATGAAATAAAAACAATAATGATCTAAGGTATCAAAAATTACAAAGAAAAAGCTAATATTATTTGTTACTTATTAAACATTTCTTTCATGTAAGCGTTTAAGTTGCTCGTTTCATGTGAAAGCTTTCTCTTAATTCTATAAACAGACATAATTTCTTGTTTAGTACAAGTTCCGCTTTCAAGTCCATAATGCCGTGTCGAGAATACCGACTAATTTGTCAGTCGAATGTTCGTTTCAATAACCTCTCTGTACTTTCTTCATATCGGGAACTGACAGAACTTGTTAAATCATATCAAAGCTGAGTACATAAGATGAAATACTCATTTAGAAGGAATTATATAAGCCAAATAAAATAAAAACATCTGCCTGAAGATACGGATGGATGACAGATCACTTCCAATCATTGCGAGCCGTGACTTTCTCCCCTCATGCAGCAGAGCAGAGTGAAATTGATAACAGATTTCGGATTTAAAAGAATACTTTTGCTTTGTTGATCCCTTTTACATATTAGTAAATATATATCGGAATTCTATTGACAATTTGAAAGTGCAAGCTTACCTTTATAAAATCGCTCTAACAGGTCTGCAAAAAATAATAAGCCGATCCAATTCGAGATTAAGAGCAACGCAATCTGCAACATTAACTAATTAGTAATTTTAGCTTATCTTATACCGGTTCTTCTACTAACACGCATGGTAAACGTATTTGCGATTGCGCACCTCCGATTCGCATCCGTAAAGTCTACGCGCACGCGTAAACGCTTATGCGCATGCATCAACGTGACGCATGTGCAGAAAGTTTGTAGCTTTGAGGTCCGGATTATGGGTGTCCGAATTAACGACTTTTGACTATTTAAGTCTTCAATAAAATATTATGCAACAGTACAGTTAGTAATTTATTAGAGAAATATAAGCATATTTGCATCAAACAAGAGCATCATAAAAGACAAAATCTCTAGTTCCACATGCTTCTGTGAATCACAGTTTTCAACAATGAATATCACAAAATTAAAGTATATATCTCCACTATTAGATCTTTATTATTGCTTATGAGCAGGAATATCATCATACTTTCCTAATTATAAAGCAAGGCCAATGAAATGCACTGCCAAATATTGAGAATGACATGTTTTATAAAAAAAAAAAATTATACAAACGATTTGCAAACCAAAGAGTTTGTTATCCTTTGTCTGTATTATTTAGTAATTATTTACATAAAAATATAATCAATAATTTTTTACCTTAAAATTTTATTTCTGGAAGTTTCTTTTATTACCATTTTTTTTTTTAATATTATGTCAACTTCTAAATTTACCTTCAAAAAATCAACCTGCCACCCTTCTCACCTATTCTAGATTGTACTCTATACAAAAAGCTTAGGGATCCCTGTGTTAGACAATTGTAAAATGAAGTACTAATTTCCTTAGAGAGCATCATTCACTATATGTAACATCATACAAGCATTAAAAATATTAAGTTTGAACTCTGTATGTGAACATTTGAAGGAGTACAACAGATGCTTAAAACTCCATGATTTGCAATCATTGAAAGGAGACTAATGAGATGATGGTAAAAATAGAACAATATTTCATTAATTTAGAAGTCAACAAAAATTAGCATAATAATTTGCACTTTGGCAGCTGAGGTTGATGGTTCGGTAAAACCATTGAAACTAGTCCTGAAAATTTGCAAATATAATGCTGATTTTTGTTGTTTGACTTGTTAAATTAATCTTTGTTTGGCGGTTCATTATCAGACAAAAGTGTAAAATCTGATCGGTTGTATATAATCGCAATTTTGACCAATAATGAAATGTACAATAATTACTATAGCATATAATAGTATATATTTAATTTAATAACATGTGAAATTTAAAGTGATATGCAGTTCGAATATAAAGACATAGTTTTTCAAGAGAAATCAAATGTTTATAATAATGGCAGATTTATTATATTCAATTAGTTCAAATATAAGCCCTGCTAATAATTAATATTTAGTTAAATTTATAACACAAGTTGCTTTAAAAGAACTTCAGCAATTGCAAAAACAATGATAATTATACTTTGTTTGCTAACTAATTAATATCGATTAAATGTATAAATAAAATCTGAGCAATGTATTTAGCAATATTCGTGTAACATTTTGTTAAAATTTCATTGGATAGTAATATTTCCAACTGCTATCAAAAATAAGGAAATAATACTTAAGAATGATATTTTAGTCAATATTATGGGGCTGTTATCTATTCAGTACTTGCCTCTTGTATTCTTTGGTAAAGTTCTTTACGAGTCCAGAGTATCATGGAGGTTATTTGCACCATGATTGGTAGGTTGATCTGTATCTTCACTATCATTCTTGCCAGTGCAACTAATGCATTTTTTGTGCTTCATAGAGCATTGTAACATATTGAACAACTCTGAGAGGATTCGCACAAACCCAACTAGTGTGACCTAAATCTTGACAGTTATGGCATCTCATTACTAAAGAAAGGATGATAAAAGCATGCAGAGAAACATATTCAAACTCTACCTTAAGATGGTATCAAAGCTCTGGCTGTGCAATGAATATTCACAATCCTGTTAGTTTTATCTCTGGTACTACATAATGATGTAAGTGCATCAACGGTCAGTTGCCCTTCTGGGAGCAAATCTTCAAAGGCTGATCTTCAAATACTGTGCAATCATGGTGTATTTAGAGAAATTTTAAGAGGTTTTTGGCGCTCAGAAAATTGGAGTTTGTTTATTTATTTTTTTTTATTTATTATTTTATTGATTTATATTTCCAATAAGCGTTTCTCTTGCCTTTGGAAAAGTCTGGAAATCTGCTTTGCTCTCACGACGTATGAACAATTCGTTAAATCTTGTAGGACATGTATCTGTTCTAGATTTAGTCCCAAAGCTCTTAGATTAAATTCTGAATATAACTGTACTTGAACTTGTGAGATCTCTGTAAAACACTATCTGATATAAGTGTGGGTTTTAATTGCCGCCTTTTTTTTACAGAAAACTTCTGTAAAAGCAGAGTCATCCTCCTAGTGCTGATCTGCCAGTTGATAGGAAAAAAGAGGTGGTATTGGGTTTAGTGTTGTTTTCACTTTTTCAGAAAGACTGGCCATCTGTTCTTGCAAAATCCTGCCCTTTTGTTCCGCTAAAAAATTTCTTGTTCTATTGCAGTTTTAAAATGTTAGAAACATAATTCTTAGAGTACGAATGTCATTTTTAGTCAGTGCAGCTTTTGCATTAAGAAAAATTAAGGTGTTGCCCTATATAAAAATTCAAGAATTCAGAGCTAACAGAGGAATTGAGAGCTAACTAAGCTAACTAACAAACTAACTTTCAGAGCTAATGGAGGAATTGCTTCCTGCGCTTCTGATGCTTAGGTACATTCAAAAGAAGAACTCATTTTAAAGCATTAATGAAACATTACATGTGTAGATAA